CTGATGAGCTGTTCAGGCGCTGTCTGGCGATCAGGGAGACCAAACTGGGTCGAGAGGATTTGGAGGTGGCCACGTCGCTGTACTCGCTTGGTGGATGCGCTCGGACGGCAGGGCGCCTAGAGGAGGCGGAGGAGTTCTTCAGGCGCTGTCTGGCGATCGAGGAGGCCAAGCTGGGTCGAGAAGATTTGAACGTTGCCACGTCGCTGTACTCGCTTGGTAGATGCGCTCAGGAGGCAGGGCGCCTGGAGGAGGCGGGTGAGCTGTTCAGGCGCTGTCTGGCGATCAGGGAGGCCAAGCTGGGTCGAGAGGATTTGGAGGTTGCGAATACGCTGTACTGGCTTGGTGGATGCGCTCATAAGGCAAGGCGCCTGGAGGAGGCGGAGGAGTTCTTCAGGCGCTGTTTGATGATCAGGGAGGCCAAGCTGGGTCGAGAGGATTTGGAGGTGGCCACGTCACTGTTCTCGCTTGGTGAGTGCGCTCAGGAGGCAGGGCACCTGGAGGAGGCGGAGGAGTTGTTCACGCGCTGTCTGGCGATCACGGAGGCCAAGTTGGGTCGAGAGGATTTGGAGGTGGCCAATACGCTGTACTCGCTTGGTGGATGCGTAAAGGAGACACGGCGCCTGGAGGAGGCGGAGGAGTTCTTCAGGCGCTGTCTGGAGATCGTGGAGTCTACGCTGGGTCGAGAAGATTTGATGGTGGCCAACACGCTGTACTCGCTTGGTGGATGCGCTCAGGAGGCAGGGCGCTTGGAGGAGGCGGAGGAGTTCTTCAGGCGCTGTCTAGGGATCAGGGAGGCCAAACTGGGTCGAGAGGATTTGGAGGTGGCCACGTCGCTGTACTCGCTTGGTGTATGCGTTGAGGAGGCAGGGCGCCTGGAGGAGGCGGAGGAGCTGTTCAGGCGCTGTCTGGCAATCAGGGAGGCCCAGATGGGCCGGGAGGGTTTGCAGGTGTTCAACGCGCTTCACGTCCTGAACCTTCGTCGTGCTCAGGTAAGGCAGACGAAACGAGGCTGAGGATTTGTGTACTTGCCTAGTGCGTGACACATGGGTAGGCGATATATTGGAGAAGATGATCATGGGGTGGTCGTTTCGCGTCCACCACGAAAGAATGCGTCGACAGTATCCGCGTGTAGTGAAACGGTTTGTGTCCAGGAGAAACTCCGAAGATATAGGGGGAAAATGGTCTGAAGACATCTCCAAGCACTCGTTCTCAAGGAGCATTTGCAGTTATGGGAGGGAGAACTCTCCTTGGAGACTTCGCACTGTGGTAGCCGAACCATATTTGTTCCTTTCAGCTTCTTTCCGTTGCAAACGATGACGCTCGTCTACCACTTTGGGGTGTCCTATGTCTCCTTGTGTCGTGACAGGTAGTCTGTAGCTGGAAACGGTACATACCATCTTGCGTAAGGAAGTGTTTCCACTGTTGTTTGCGGTATGGATCCGACGGGTTTGAAAGAGTACGGACGGCGCCAAGCGGTTGTTGTATTCCTTTTCTAAACGGCCACGATGTTCAGCAGCTCCAAGAATAGTGGCACTCGTCAAAGTTGGAGGGATAAGGTTGATCGTGTGCAAGAGTTGAGTTGGATGAGGCCTCACGCCCCGGCAGAGGGGCCTTGACTGGAAAAAGCACATTTCCCCATGTAACGTGGATGCTTCATTCGCGTATGGTGCCGGTAGATGATCTGGAGGTAGAACGAGCTATGAACGGTATAATGAATTTCAACATATCTGAGCAATACAGCGAATAGACACGAAGGGGCCAATGTGTCGGCAACCGCCCCATGGCGAGCCATGGTCGGCGACGGGATGAAAACATTCGGGGTTCGTCACGGAAGCTGGAGGGGGGGAGGGGGTTCTTGCGCATGAGGTATGAATGTCGCTGCATCTTCGACAACGTCTTGTTCGCCGGAAATGAACAGACCAGAGAACACGGCTTTTCGGTGCGCAGTACACCGGCGCGGAAATTTCCAGCAAAATGGAAGGTCTCCGCGAATGTATTTGTTTGCCTTCTCACACAACGGGACAACCTGCTCACCACACACCCCGCGCGCCCCCTTGCCGTCCGCCTCAATGCTTCTGCCTAGGCGGAGTCCCTTGCAAGCAGCCCTTCAAGCGAGGCACGACCTGCGGAACATGAACGGGAAAGGAACGAATGCATCGTGAGTGCTTCGAGTCTCATGACCATTTTTGAACAGCATTTGAATCGTTCGTCTCTGTCTATGCGGCAGCATGCAACGGTCCGGCGAGCGACTAGCGCACCGTTAGTGGCATGATTGAAGCAGTAGTTTTGCATCCGTCCTAACCTGCCCTCAACAGCATGTACCACCCGAACCTTTGGCTTACTCTATTCGCAGGTGTGCATGACAGAGGAGGTAAATTGCGTTTTAGTTCCGTGTGGGCACCACTGCATCTGCCTCGCGTGCGCCTCTCGCTTGGAGGAATGCCCGATTTGTCGCAGGGCCGTCACGCAAAAGATCAAGACCTTCAGCGCGTGACCGTACCTTGCAGAGACTGCGCCCATGATATGTAACTAAACCTATGTGCAGTCTATGGCTGAGGTAGGCAGCAAGAGAGACAGCAAGAGAGAACACTGCCGTTGACCACACTCGCCTTCAGCTGCACCGTCAGCGCACCTTTACACCAGCCAGTGCGCGAAGGTTCCAGCCAATAGTGCCACCCAGAAAGTAGAACCGGGGGCAACGACGGGGGAGAAGGAGCGTGAATAGTGACGCAGGAAGATTCTCGAACAATGAACGGATCTGAGAGCGTGGTATGGTTCCAGGCAACAACGGGAACGCTAGTCTGTAACGTAAACGTCAATGGAAGATAAGGCATTAAACGTACAGTGCGAAAGACAGCCCGTACTCCGCTGTGCCCTGCACTCCATCAGCACACCCTCAGAGAGGCGTTGCTGTAGGCCTAGCCCGGGCGTCTTTCCGGCAGCCACGACATACATGAGCGAGGAACAGAAAGGTGGTAGGAAAGCTGAAGAAGAGAGGAGGGGGAGGGGGAGGGGAGGGGGGAGGGGAGGGGAGGGAGGGAGGAAGGGGGTGAACATGATGAAGAAGGAGACGAACAGGAGCAGGAGGAGCAGGAGGAGCAGGAGGAGCGGGGTGTAAGCTGGAGTGGGCGTGAACGCACCCCGAAACGTCTTTTTTCGAAGGTACACCACCGGCCACTGTTACGGGTTCGCCGCACTTGCGGCCGATATCGACAGCTCTCCACACCCCAGACCCTCAAAAAGATCGGATACCAAAACTTGGAAACCACCGTTGGGAACGACGACTGGATACCATTTGCCGGGGCACTGGCTAGACAACCCTACGGGCGTCCCTCGAAGCGAGTGCTGTTCGGTAACATCATGGCGTGGAGGCCCCAGGCAGGCGGGGCCCGGAACACTCCGGGCGAAATGTTTGAAGGAAGGTTTCAAAGAATTTTGATGTCACGTTCGAATCCTCCGGCGACGACAAAAGGACGTTCGGGACACCTCGTGCCTGTTGGACTTTCGCAGTCAAGGTAGACGAGGGTTGACGTGGTACAAAGGGGTGATGCAGGGAGCGGAGAGGTTTATGGTCAAAATTCACGAGGAGGAAGGCCAGCAGACTACACGCGCAGAGAAACGGGCTAGGGTTAGAAAACCGCGACAACCGAGGGAACTGGGGGGAAGGAACGTAGAGAGACCCAGATAGAGGGCAAGAACGCAGTTGAGGAGAGCAGTACGGAGATAGTATAGAACGGGTAGCGAAATTTATGCCGGACTGATGATGGAGGTGGTAGGCATACATCTCCCGCCAATAGTTTGCATCGCTTTCCCCCTTCCTCTCCTTTTGTTTGTGTTTTTGGTCTCTGTTGTAAAGTTGTTCCGTTGGAGCGATCCGAGAATCACCCGCACGACGCTTTTTGGATGGGCGTGTGGCGAGCAATGCCTCGGCTGGTGCAACCCCAGCGGCCAATATGCGCCCCCCCCCATGTCTCTTAGATATCCTTTCGTGTTGGGGGGCCTCCTGTTTCTGTTTTTCTATTCCTTTTGGCCGGGTCCACTCGTCTCCGGGTTAGTAGACTGCCCTGCTTATTATCTGGAATATTTTTCTGGGTCCGGATCTATGCCGTTTTTGACTTCTACCGAAAGGGCTACCGCATTTATTTATGGGTAGGAAATGGTTGGCCTGTGACCACGGAAGGTGTCCATATCACATGTATGTTCTTATGACTGCGCGTAGTGACAACTGCAACAACCCAAACCACCGCGACCGCTGCTATGGCCGATCACGATGCCAAACCCTTGATACTATTGAAAATTAGCTGTCTCCCACGGACGGCAAGCAGAGATGCAAGCAATCGCTGCCAGAGGTCACGTATTGTTCCCCCGCTACTACTGCTGTACGGTACTGCGGACACCGAGTTGCTCCGCTGTGTCTCGACGACACGACGCGGCCCCTGTCCAACCTTGAGGAAAAGAGGCAGAACCACAAACAAAATCCACCACTGGGGGTTCAACCTCCTCCCGTCGAACTTGTTCCCGAAGATCGCCATCAGGCAGCAGCGTTGATTTCCTCGCATATTGTGCGCGTTCTAAGAGGGAACGTTCCGGAGAAGGCTCGTCGGGTTCCGAACCATTCCGACAAGCTGCGTACGTCACGATGGTTGATGGGTTCGGTCCTCACCACGCTCCCGCTCCTCCCCCTCCACACTTCACACTTCTCCCGCTCTCCGCCACAGCTCAATCACCACCCTCCTGACAACAAAATCGTCACAGGGACACCACACCAGAATAGTGTAGAGATGGCCTCCGTGAATCAGAGCATCGGCTTCCTCGAGGACTCCCTCGTCAACAGCGAGTGTGGGAGAGACGAGCAGCACAACGAACGCGTGTCTCGCATGATTCAACTGGTGAAAGAAGGGCACGTCCTCACGCCAGACGAGAAACGGGGTATTGTGTCGTGTAGAAAGAATTCAAGGATGAGGAGACTTCGCAGAGTGAAGAAGGAGAAGCTAGAGGCCTTCCTTCAAGGTCCCAATGCGTTCAAGGCTAATCGTATCGGTGACAGGACCCTCTACAATTGGGCAGATGGAGGCACTGTCTTGACCACGTTAGAAGGGTTGGGCTCTGAATATGTATTGTTCACGCCTCTGAACATCATGTCGCCGTCGTCGGTGGAAATGATATCAGCGATGTATGATTTCTCGCAAGAAGTCCCTCTCTTTGGGACTGGAGGGGCTCGATGGGACTTCCCGGGATCAAGTGTTAACGTGGGCGAACTGTTTGCGTTTGTCAACGAAGTTGATCTGAGGGTCGACATTTTCAGGGTCGATGGGATCTTGGACTCGGAAACAGGGCGTAGGGTGCACTGGGATATCTTTGGGCACGGTACCAGGAACGTAGCCGTGCTTTCTCCTTACATTGGACGCATGTCGTTTGGAGACTGGAAGACTTTTGTGCCTACAAAGGCCCTTGGGACCATGCGTCGCAAGATCAAGAGTGAAAACAATATCGCAGATCGCAAGACCAAGACTGAAAACATTTAGACTAGACTAGTGTTGTGTAGTTTAGGACGATTTGTTTTTTTTGTACCTTGCAGTCTCGTCAATGCACGAAAGGCTACCTCGTGGTACACGTTTGCCTGACGCGCCATACACCGAAGTTGTGGGCGAATAGTTTGTTACGATAGTCGAGATTATTGTCCATTTTCTTTTACTTTCCACTCGGGAGTTGCAATGGATTTTTCATGCTGTAGACTGTTCTATGCATATATATCATTTTTGATGAAAAAAGTACTGTTCTACAAGTCAGGAATTGTAGTACAAGTACGTGTGGGATGCCTACAGCGGGCAGTTAGGTGCCCGATAGTATGTTGTAAGAAACGTCAAATGGCTCAAGGTTCAAGGTAGTTATGTGTGGTTGGCCCTTTCAAGATTAGTATTTGGAAGCGTGCGTGTTGTTTCCGCCCTGGCCAAGAGTTTTAGTCCAATCCACTGAGTGAATCGATGCAGGTGTATACCATATAAATATGCGTCACAACGGGTGGATTGCGTGCCGTTCATCCTTGATGCGTGCCATCCGGTCTCGGTGCCAGCAATTGGTGGCGTGTGTGACATGCGTCGAGTGACATTTATTCTCGCGGCCAAGGATTCTACCAATCCGGTGGGTCAAGTCGATGCCTCCAACGGGGTTGTTGTATGTTTTGGCCCTTAGTTGTATACGCCATGCTCAAGGGGAAGATGGAGGAAGTGTGTCCTTTTCCCATTCGGAGCACTCACACATCCAGTTCAAACAACTCGTTCTCATGAGTTACCACTACGGCCCATTGCACCATGCATGGCGTTTTTTCCCGTGTCCTTGACCGACCACAAGCACCCAAATCACAAGCCTAGTCCATTTCACCTACTTTGATCCTATGTGGAATGCCTGGTACAATATTGTAGCAGCTTGCACCGACCGCCAGTCACACCGACAACGATATCTCCTTCTACATACATGTACGTGAGCACGTAACGCCCCCTCCCACTCGAGTACAACTATCTCCCAAACCGTGGACATTCGCTCGTCCTTGAAGCACTAGTTGCCAGTGCAATGATGAAGAACAGCGTTTTACGTGCGCGTCAGGGAGTCCCAACGGTTTTCCACCCCCCACGCTCTCCACGCACCGCGTTTCCTCCCCGACAGTTTTCAACAAATATGTCGGGGCGAGTATAGATAGTAGATTCTCGCACCGCTTTCCGCAAGGCCTGCAATTCATTACCATAGCGCGTTCTCCCGAAGCACTCTCCAGACCAAAAACATCCCACTAAACGGCAGTCTCAACCGAAACTACGTATGCGCACGCCACACACGATTGGGAATCGTACTCAGAGTCACACAATTGTTGTCGAACGAGAGAAGCCTATTGCCAGGTACGAACAGCGTTCCAATGTAGACCTACCTCATCTGGCACTGCATCCACTGCATATGAACGAGAAAAACACCACATCGGAAATGACTCAACCACAGTGTGGCAATGCAAACACAACTAATGACCGTTCAGAAACGAGGGTACGCCGACGGATGCGATCCAAGGGCGGAGTGCGACTTGATCACAAAAAAATCGGAATACACAAGCAGGGACGAGCTCGACCACGAGGCAAAGTGCCCGGGGACCGACTGACTCCACCCGTTGACCAAAACGCCTGCAGCACACTTGTAAGAACCCGTGATCCTTGTACACAGAACTATGCACACAAAGACTGATCCTGAAAGACAACATTTGGTGGTGGAGCCATATATTGAGTGAGCTCAATTGCAGTACTTGCACGACACGACGAAGGCAGATTAAACATCGAAAACACTCGAAGAAAAAAGAAACCCTCACGCTTATTGCACACGCGACGAGCACTCCGAGTCGGAAAAACGCGATACGTAGCCCAAGAGTCACCATGCACACACGCACCCGTCGTATCATATGTATGTAGGTTTCTTCCCCCCCCCTGCTCCGTCTTTCTCTTTCCCGCGTGGCTACCGGGGCGGCTTTGCGTTCGAGAGTCAGACACTACGCTGAACAAACTCACGCGGCCAGGCAGGTGTGGATGGCCGATTGTTGACCCATTGGTGTCATTGACAATGCTCTACACCGTCGCTCCTTCCGTGTATACGTTTCTAGACTGGCGGTATAGTTGTACTCTATATTTTCTCCCGCACCATGCAACCTAGAACCATCGAGGTGCTACACCCCGTGTGTCTGCGCCATGTCCACTGCGACAAACCCGAAACCCATTCATACGGCCTTGCCGACGACGATAGGACACCTGTCGACGTCGAGCCACAAGATTGGGGGGAGTCGAGGACACTGACCTACCTCGCATTGGTCTTCGCCGACGTCTACTACCATTCGGGCGAGGAGTTGTTGCGTTCGGCGAATCTATGAATCGCAACGAGACAGTTGGCCAGCTTCCCGCCGTCTGCGAATAGAGGAGGGTTAGAGGCAGAAAAGGTGACGGTCTGTCGACAAGGGGGTTGCGACAGAATGGCATCGTTCCTTGTGAATGCCTGGAGGGTACGAACAACATTGTGTGGACGCACCATGTTGCGATGAGACAATAGTAGCTGGTCGCAAAAAAAAATGATAGCACTTACCCTCCACGCCCGTTATCTTGCGAAGGCCGTCCACTGAGGTCGGCACTCGTTCCAGCACTCGTTCTATCTGAGACACACAGTAGAGAAGTCATGTTTTCGATAGCAGGCAAGGTCGGATAAAGTCAAACTTCTTCCGTATGCGGGGCCGAGGTTTGTTTACTCTTCGATAATCTTGGCGCGGCTTGTAAGACAACGAACGAGGAAAGCAGGAAAAAAGTATCCAGGAAATAATCAAGGAACCAATAACGTCGGACGTATTGCGTAGGTGAAAGCGGAGTGACTCGCGGGCGGAGCTCGAGCTAAGCGCAATGTTGGGAATGGGTGCACAAACATGCGCAGTTTATCTTGACGACCAGTTGATAACGCGGCACTCGAGGTTCATCAAAGGGTATCTTTTTGTATACAGTACCGGGCTGAAGAAGACGTTTCGACAGCTTGCGCGCCCGAACGCATACCTGTGGCTCCGAAAGGGCGAAGGCGGAAACCTCCCCGTTGTGCATGAGTTCCTTGCCCCTCCACATGAGAAGGAATCGCCTCATCTGCTGTCGTTGGGTGGGAGTCAGCGTCCTGTACGGGAAGAGCAAAAAACAAAGGCGTGGATGCACAGATGGCAACTGGTCGTCGAGTTCACTTCTGCACGCCTGCTCATAGTTAGGCTCGTGAGAAAAGAGGCGGCCGCCGACCTGGTCGTCTAAGAGAGATGCGCGAGTCCCACCAATGGTTACAATCTTCACCTACGACTCGTGTTTCTAGCAAAAGCTCGTTGTTGGTGCCACTAGGAACGTCAATCAAGACGTGGTCTCGGATCGATGTGATCATTCAACGCTCCTATTCGGGCGCAATCATCCAGCTCATGTTAAGTCCACCGAACCCTGTACGGGCACCTTCCCTCAGATACCCATGTGAAAAAAAGAAAGAAGGCCACCGACGACCAACCGAGCGGCTCGTGACGTACATTCGTTCCCGTTCCGTGGTGTGGTAGTCGGCAGCCCTCTGCCTCTTGCTTGATCCGTGGACCCCAGCGTGGACGTCTTGTCCACGGACTCCCTACAACCCACGGCAGGGTTGAGAAAAATGAGTCGACCGCCTCACCGACCGCGTTCATCCATCACAAACAAACGCGTGAGAAAGACTACTGTAGGACGATCGATATGAGACACTCATACGTACAGAGCAGAGGTCTTTGCTCAGACGTTCACGCATCACCAGCAAATATAAATCGATCGATCAAGCGGTTCGGCAGAGACAAGATGAATTATTCATTGCTCGCAAGGCAAGCAAAGACATTTGCTCTGTCCTCGAGGATGCCCTCCGACCCAGGGTACGGGAGCGTGACACCACAACCCCGCCGTTTGACACACGCAAGCAGGTACACAATGCGTCCAACACCAGTAAACGCACCGACTGCTTCGCGTTGTCGCCGACTATCGCATCGGCTCACCCCCCCTGCGAAAGAGATGTTTTTTAGCTACTCCACCAGGGGAGACTCCTCCGCGAGGCACGATCTGCGTGCCAGTACAAATGAGAATGAAACCGGGGCTGTGTTAGGAGCCGGGAGGGAGAGTCAAGCGTACTTTGAAAACGAACAAAATACATACATTATGCTTATACTGGGACGGAATCGCACAGAGAGAGAGAGAGACTTTTTGATTCTCGATAGAATTGAAGTCTCGAAAGGTACGTCCAGATCCGAATTTCATCTACTTCGGGGGACGAAAACCTTCAAATTCATTCCAAAAGAGATAAGCCCATTGAAAAATCGAAAACAAAGAATCCAGATAAATCCAGTACGGGGCAAGTCCGCATCCGCACGCTAAATCAGTCTGTAACCAAACACAGCGCACAAAACAAAACAGGATGAGGACTACGGGCTTCCAAAGTATTAGTGTTCCAGGTTCACACGGCCTGAGTCCGGTGTACGTCCTCCTAGGCAAGAACGTAGGCTCGATTCTGAGACATGATGGATTTACAACCTTAAAGCAAAGCCGTGGACCGATCACTCAAGAATACAAACGGGACACAACAGGACAATAGCCACCTCCTCTTTGACGATACCAGCGAGGTCCGATTTTTGCGTGAAGCGGAAATCCTGCCCCTTCGATGGATGCGACAGAGACCCGGCCCTCTTGGGCTCGTCCGCACCGACACTGTTTCATTGTCAGTTGAAGGAAGAAACCTGCTTCGTTTGGGTTGAGGGTGCTTTGCGGGCGTGAACAACGATAACAACACAAGTGACAAGCCGAGAGCGATTTTCCCCTTGCCCAGACAAATAATAATCGAGAGCCCGGCTTTCTCCCGGCATGTGCCCCTGTGCAATTGTTCCTGCCGAAATAACAAGACCATGCCTAGCGTCTCGTGTGCAGTGGGTGCTTTTTTCAAAGAAATGTTTGGCCGACACCAGCTACGCTATTTGCCCTAAATGTTTCACGTCGAGCAGTCTTGACATATGTTTCATGTTCTTGTTGGCCCTTTTCGACATCGATACATTCCAGCAGCAAACGATCGCCGAACGGAAGCCGGGGCTGACGAACCGGAGCGCGAGGGTCTTCTCAGTCTCGACTACTATGCGAATGTGTCAGCCACCTAATTTTCGGGTACACAAGCCACGTTCTGCGTTGTGAAAGCGCCGAGGGCTTCTAAAATCCTCTCGAGGTATTCACATGTTGTGTCAATGCGCCAGCCTAAGAGGGAGGAGCATGCGCAGATTCAGACAAATCTCTTTTAGCGTCGATGTCGCTATTATAGCAGGACCCGCCCGTGACATGTATTTGCTACCCCCCTCATGAGTTATTCTTTGCGGGTGCCCTACTTCTGCTAAATCATCCCCAGCTCCCTTAGGCCCGTACATGAAACGAAAAAAATCGCACCGAAATCGCGTACCGTACGTAAATCACATATCGAGGACCCCCGCGACTTCACTGCACCTCGGGAAGGCCTGTGAAAACCAACGAACAGCGCTTGAAAGGAATGGATGATCGATAAATTCACCTCGTGTACCCAAAAACCGGTGCTAAAGCTAGTATATGTGCATCGTGTGCCACGCACAGAGAGAAAACAATCAGAGTCACCCTTCGCCACTCACCCAACACCTCGTTCGGCGAAACAGGCCTTGGCAGCGGAATTCCCGCGTGTGCGATGGACCCCGTTGTCCTGCCGCTGCCCGACGATTTCGGATGCCGTCTCCGGCCCTACCCCACCCAGCCGAGCCCCGCGGTCCTTTGGAAAAACGCCACGGCTACCGCCCCCCCGCCCTTGATTTCCGAATCCCCCGCCACTGCCGAACAGAGAGGCAATAGCCCCCTGGCTTCCTCCCCCACGCCCGCCCCCCGGGAGGCGGCAATCCACGCCCCGCTCCTACTCCCGCTGGCGCCGCTGCTGCCAAATTCTCCCCTTCCGCTTGCTCTCGCGGCGTCGTGAGAGAACCTGCAAACACTGCCCCAGCGGCATGTGCCAGAGGTGTACCAACGTATGCACGTCTTGAACGGAACCCTCCCCTGATTGAGCGCAACATTCCTTGGCGAAGGTCCTGTGCTCGCTGAAAGGTGCACTCGCCCCCCTCCTTCTGCCAACGGAGCAGCCGGCGTCATCTTTTGCTGTTTGGCCGCCGCGCCGCCCATCCTGACCCCCTAGAACCCGAGGCCACCGCCACCGAAGCTAGAAGCATGTGCTGGTGAGCCCCGATGAGTTCATCCGTGGCCTGTCGCGTGTGGTCAAAGGACACCGGCGTGATGCTCGGAATGTCGAGCTGGTCAAGGTCACCCTTTGGAGGCGAGTGCGAAAAGCGTGCCCTCAACAGGTCCGAAGCCTCGCCAGCAGCCGCCCCCACTCTCAGTAAGTCTCGATCAATAGCATTTTTCACGTTGTTCGCCAACATCTGCCCGAACTCGCCCTTAAAGCCGACGCGAAACCTAGCGACGTACGTGCACAGGCGCTTGGAAATGTCGCGAAAAGGCGCCAGGAAGGCCTCAGCGCGAGCTTCGCCGGCAGCGGTCGCACCGAGATGTACCATCGCCTCGAGCCCGCACACCAACGCGGCGAACTTGTCGTCAGGGAGAACACCTGTCCCGACACCTCTCTTCTTGTCGCTTCCGAGCTGAACGTCGTGCTGGCGTGCAGCGAACGGCGCGATCTTGATGCCAGACAGAGTGTTGAGCATCTTGAACACCGCGTCCGACATGACCAGCGCGTCCCCAGCTTGTTCCTGCAGCCGCGATGCACTCACGCGCGGGCCTACGAACGCCGCGGCAAACCACCGTCGAACCCCATCTTTGTTTATCCACTCCCTTGCCTCGCGTTTCTGTGCCTCCCGCTGGGCGGTAGAGACCTGTTAGCCTGGAGGTTGAGAAGGTTTGGAGTGATCGCCAGTACCATGGGAATCAATGCCCCAAGCTGCTGCTGTTGTACGTCGAGCTGCTGCTGTTGCTGTTGAAGTATTGCCCAGACATCTCCTGCCTGCCGCGGCTTCTGCTGCTGGTGCTGGTGCTGTGACGCTGCTACATTGTTGGACACGCTTTGCGTTTGCTGCAAAAGCGCTTGGAGGTTGACGGCCTGCAGCGCCAGGGCTGCCGAAATATCGCTTTCTCCGTTCGGGTCCGCCATTGGGGCGGCCGGCAATTGATTGTGGGTGTCTCTCGGCGGCAGTCACCCTGGAAGCTGGAAGGAGGGAAGGAATCCCTTGGGGTTGTGGAGCGGGACAGCGGGACTACAGCAGTACTGTACAATCGAAGGACCGTAGTGGCAAGGCGAGGGGTGATCCGCCGTGGAGTCGAAGCGGTGTCAGGTACAAGGCGGGAGAAAGGTCTGATCGAGGAACGGAGTCGACTGGGTCTCTGCCTGTTGAGCTGAAAACACTGCTAGGCTGCTACGTAGGCTTCAATCTCACCAGGGTTCTACTGTACGGGTTCTGCAGCCAGAACCAATTCAGAACCAATGTGAAACCTCCCACACTCCCACACCGAAAACCCTGAGTCCCGAGTGTTGGAGGCTCCCTTCTCCCTTCGCCCTTCCACAAGCCTGCGTAAGCAGCCGTATCTACCGCTTGACGTACGACAGAATCAAACTACTCACGGCTGCCGGTGTCATTCTCACAACCACCTGCCTCTACCTGCCGGTATTCCCAAGCACAAGGTAGAACGAAGGTCATCAGCTGGACAACAAAGTGTACCTCGGCCGAGAACCCCTTTATTAGAGCTGAGAGCTGCAAACGCTGGCAAGCAGCGAGAGCATGAGCGGTGGCACGTGTCCCTTTGCGGCGCAGTGGCAGCGATCACAACCATCTGGGACAACAGCACCAACTTGTCCCCTGGGCTTCGGATCTCCCACCCCTCATCCTACTGCTGGCGATTCATCATTGGTAACCGCAACTGCAACAGCTACGCCAACAGCAGCAGCAGCAGCAGCAGCAATCACCTGCCCGCTCGGTTTCGGGGGAGGAGCCAATGACACCGGTAGACCAACAACGACCTCATTTGTCAAACGTAGCCTCCCGCGAATGCCCCTAGCTGTCCTTGCCGGACACCCCACGCTTGTTTCGGTCAAGGGCATCGTGTTTGATGTATCCGACGACGAGGCCTATAACCACGAAGGGGCACTCGCTGGATGCGCTGGACACGATGCGAGCCGCGTGATTGGAGCATCTGCGGGTAGTAGACGCGGCTATGGTGACGGTGGTGGCAAGCTTGATGCTGGGTTGGAAGGTTTACGGTATGAGGAGCATCAGAGACTGGAGGCTTACTTTGTGGAGCTGGCTCGGAGTAGGCGCGCGGTTGCTGTTCTGACGGACGAGGACTATATCAGGTTGGCCACACAGAGATGACGGCAGTAGTATCATACCAGTCGTGTTTTGTGCCCAATTACGCAGCAACCAAAGACGCTGATATCCTCAAGGTGTGCTGCTATAGTGTGTCATTTCCATATGGTAGCAACAGCCGTGTTGTTTTGTACAAAAGCGACTGAGGTTAGCGCCTGGTTTCGCTGAGCGGTTGGACGTGTCGCCATGCCCAGAGCTCCGACGAATGGACAAAGGTCGACCAATATCTCTGTTTGATTTTGACATTTGTTGTCGGGAGCACAGGCAAAAAAATTTCGTTCCTGTAGTCTAGCAGCATTGGCAGCATCTGCAGTATGGCATACAATCGTGGTGGCGGTACTGCTGTCGTTGGCGGAGGCTGCTGTATACGGCCCTCCACTTCTCTAACGCTAATCCCTCTCCCTTCGTCGCAGCATTTTTGGGACTCCTCTCGTCGCCAGCGGAGACACTGGGTACACCCCGGCTGCTGCTACTACTGCTTCTGCTCTCGCCATCAACACACAAACTAATAACGTGAAGGCACTGGTGGCCGTACTCCATGCCTCCGTAGAGCAAGGCGACGCTGAAGCGGTGAGGAACGTATTGTCCTCACGATACCAGCAACCCCCCGGAGAGGAGGTGGAAGACGCCGGGGGAGACGCAGATGGAGACAGCGCCCAAATAGAAGAAACACAGCCAAAGAGCCTGTTGGTGCCCGTCGACTCCGCTTGCCCTCGCACGGGGATGTCGCCGTTGCTCAAGGCGGTGGAGGGGGGCTCGGCGAAGGTGATCAGATTGCTGCTAGACGCCGGGGCGGACGTCCGAACGCAGGCAAGCGTGAAATGGTGTACCTCTGTATTGCCGCGGCTGGTACGGTTGCCGTCGTTTGCGCGATCAGCGCGTAGGGCTGCCATGACAAATATCGTACAAAGTTCCGGTCCTTTCGAATGAATGCGAGAAGCTGTTGTGGTAGTGTTTGGCACGATTGTTTCGCTTTCCGAAGCTCGCACTCAGCCCTGCTACTTTTCAAACGGCACGATCGGTTCCAACCCCCGGCAGGACAAGATTTCGGCATGATCGCCAAACAGGAGAAAGCATCCACCCCAGCCCCTTCACCCTCCCATCCAAGTGCTACTTTCGCACCCACCTTGTATGTAGGTGCGATGGTGGCTGCGCTCTCAGACACCGTGATTGGTGCTCGAGCCGAGCGCACAAACGTACCCCGCCTGCACAACCTCTTGCATCTTCTCCTCTCACGACGTCATCCCCGCCTGTCGCCGTTTTGTCTGATTGATGTAAATCCAAAAGGCCGCGTTATACGACGGAGACACAGCCCTGGATCTTGCGAGGAGACTCAGCTGCAGTGATACGATCATAGAGATGATAACACTTGCATCGTCGAAGGTTCCCTCGTAACGGGGTCATTGGTTCGCGTCGGTGCTGCGGTTCCAATATAGCAGTACTTTTTGTCGTGAGACGCGACGGATGATAATTTGAATCGATGGTCTGTACGTGGGCGCGTGTGCTGATCCAATGTCACACACAGTGGAAATTGCCAACAACCTTGCACAATGGGGGCACCGTCGAATGGGTTCACTAACACGGCTAGAGTATAAGAAATCCCCGGGGCGATGAAACAGCGCCCGGCAAGTCGCAGTGCTTGATATGCCAGACAGGTGATCGCTTCTCGTTATTTCTTCAAGACAGGATGGAGTCTGGTCTGTGCTATGTTGACCTTGTCCTTGAGCGGAGCGAGTGTCGTTGAGAGTAACAGGAGCGCCGAAGTGCGAAAGATGTGTGGTTGGCGAGCGCCGGGCTTGATGTTTCACGCTCACTCGCTTTTCCTGAAGATCCAATCAGTCTCGAACACGCTCACCACGAACCTCCAAATGGTGCCAAGTGCGTGCGAAAAGAGGCACATGCAAGCGCGTTTTGCACACATGACGTACTAGTCTGTACGTCGCATGCGAGAGCGTGTGGCGCCTCTACGTTATGAAGGACGACCGCAGTTTTGTTGTAACCCTCTGGCCCACCACACCGTTGCCGTGATGGAGTTTTCGGACCGTGCCTTGCGACAGCCACTGGGCACGGGTTCACGGTTGTAACTTACCGTCGCCGTCACGGGTTGCCATCAGCAGCTCTCCGTGGCGATTGGTGGTGTATTGACCGGCCCTCTTGTGAGCCTGACACTTGCTGGGCGGGGCGTCCCTCAGGCCATACTTTGCATACTTCGGGCACCCCGGATACTGTTCGGGATGAACGCATGCATAAACAGAATGCGAAAAGAGCGGTGATACCTAATCAATTTTTTTATCTTGTGTGTTCGCTTTCACTAAGAACACATGTTCGTAAAGGGAGGTACGACCTGTGGACATAAAGCTACTGTGAGAGCGTATAGTGCTCACCCTTTCTGTTTCGGTCTCATTTACTACTTGAAACGGGCACAGCACAAGCGGTAGCGTTCCGACAATGAGTGGGTGAAACAAACGCGAAAACGACTTGATTGCTTCATTGCAATGCAACACGAAAACCAAACAATCAACGTGGCGGTGGTGCTGCTGAATATATTTTATCCCGCTCTACTCTACACAATGCAAACATCTGAAGATCGAAGACCAACAATAGAGAAGGACGTCGAGACAACCTACTACCAGTGCAGAAAGTATCATGATACCAGACACTACTGGTACGACAAGCATCAACGCAATCTACAGTAGTGGTACCTGCTTCCGCACTTCGGGAAACAGCTACCGCACACTTACTGCAGGACCAGATACACAACACCTCCGGCAGGATGGATGGGGTCCACCACCTGCTCGCCTTTGGACTCCATATCCCATCAAAGAAGCGCTGCATCATACAGGCAACGGAAATCTACTCGGACCAATCGGAGCCAACAATCCCACACAACGGAAAAAAGGCAAACTGTACATGGGCACAACCAACTCTGAGACCGCAATTCAGTACAACCCTGGACACCATAAGCTTGTGCAACCCTCCGATAAACAACAAACGATGCTGCCCCGTACCTACCCTATATTTCAAGTCCCTTAGCAAAACAATTGCTGCCTTTCAGCTACAGACAAAGAGTGATGATGATGTTGAGTTGAGACCATGGCCGCCACCGGGTTGAAAATTCGCTTGCAACCCTCGCGGTATCGCCAAAGCCTCTTCGAATCAGCGCCCCATTGCCCCAAGTTTTGCTGGTGGCATGCGCTGAATCATGCCTCTCCGACAGCCTCAAGGTCAAGGGTAAGCGTGCGCGAGCTGTTGGTGGCGTGGTCACGGCAGATCCCCACCAGTGCGTCCGCTTTTTCGTAGAACATATCCTGTAACGGGGCATGGGGGAGGAGGGGGTCTTTATCACCATGTCCCATGAAACGGTAGTGTTTGAGCACAGAGTCGCGACCCCACATTCGAGGTCGGGACGGAGAATGCCGTGGCGCAGGGCGCGCGGACACACAAATAGTGGTGCCGTGGAAATCGGAAGGGGACGGCACGGACAACGGGACAATGGGATTCAACCAACGCGCAACACAGCAGGAGGAGGAGCAGCAGCAACAACAGGGAAAAAAAGACAGTACCATTGTGAGATGGGAGATTTCCATGGCGAAAATCCAATACCTTGAGGGAGATGACGATGGATTGGAAGTCGCCGCTCCTCCCCTGGATGTAGTTGCACACCTTCTTCACGTTGATGTTGTCTAGGGCAGCGTCAATCTCGTCCATGACGAAAAATGGTGCCGGGCGAAAGCTGGGTACCGCAAAAAAAGAATAAGATGGGGGAACGAAGGAGCGAAGAAGTGAAGCACCGTAAAATAGAACACGATGACCGATAGAAAGAGGCGAACGACAGACGCTCCAGCAAACAAAAGAGCACAATAAACGATACAAGGGATGAACGAGTGACACTCCGCGAAGAAAAAAAAGGTAAACGACAAAAGGGGTGAAGGAATGAAAGGGTGGGTGGGGGGCAAGTGTTTAATCCGTGGAACCAATTTTTTATCGATGATTTAGGCCCCCGTATTCCCAACAAAAACTTCTCCGACCTGCCCAATCCATGACGTCAAGGTCCCCCTCCCTGTATCGTCGGTCGTCGGAGTAAGACAACTCCATCGACTGTCACTGCATACCAATATCCCAACCCTCAAAGGCCAGAAGGAACAAAAAAAAACGCCTACTTCGTTCCGGTGAGTCAAACCAGCAGACCGGGCAGGCCGTTCAAACACAGACAAGCACGCTGGATCTGGCGAGCAACAACAACACCACACACCTGTGTATCGCGAAGAGAAGGCCGAGCGCTGCCACCGTCTTCTCCCCGCCCGACAGCTGCTCCATGTCGCGGAAGCGCTTCATTGGGGGCATGGCGTTGAACTTGACTCCTCCAAGGTACGGCTCCTCCGGGTTGTCGAGGCTCAGGAAGGCGTTTCCTCCTAGGGGGTGCTTGCTGCTGCGGGTGAGGTCCTGGTCGCGGGGGGGTTAAGGGGGGGGGGGGATCGGCGGTACGCGTTGAGCCCCGCAGTTCACTGCTGCTAGCCAAGTTCATGTGATTTTGAGCTGGGATCCTCTGGGAAAACGCGGCTGTGATATATCTTGACATGGTGTCATGGGTTTTGCTCTTTGCAAGATTTTATGCTGCCGATGTCATGTGATAGAGATTGGCATGCACAAGATAATCCGCTAGGATGACGAATGCACGTATGGGGTTGCGTTTTGGATAGAGGCTGAAGCTATACTGAGTATGAGAGGTCCCTCGACTGATTGTAAGATATGATTGCAGCCGCTACACCTCACGTGCGAGGACAAAACACGCCACAGTATCTCCTCATGCGCAGATAGATCAGGACTGCAAACTAGTCAGGCTGCCGCTAGTTCATAGTATGTGTCGGAAGCACTCGAGACGTTCTCCGTTCTGAGCGGTTTCACGCCTCCCATGAACCACACTCAATTACAAAATCGTTCCTCGAAAAAATCTTTTTCCTGAAACCATGGTTTTACCTTGTAGATGGTGTTGAGGTTGTCGGACACGAGGTTGTAGGCCTGCATGAAGGTGTCGTACCTGGATCACGGGACAAAAAAGAAGATGACAAACATGTCAGCGGCGACTGTGTGTCCAGATTGTTGTGCGATACAAGTAAAGGACGTTCTACCACGTGCTTTACCATGGTCCACCCAATACGGTATACGTCGCGGCTGAGCAAAGGTATGCAGTAACCCATTGATGCGGCCCCGTGCGGTGTGGCTTTGGTCACCACTTCATTGGCTCCAATGGTGAGGTCTGCGCCTGCGTGCGCGCTTCCCCTTCCGACTTCTCCCGCTTCCCAACCCGTCCGACACAACGGCGCGAAATTCTGAGATATGCTAGGAATCTGGGTTGAGAGAAGCACTCCAAGCCCAAAAGAGCCCGATGTAGAGATCAAAGAGTCATTCCGCCTCGTGGGCTTAGAAACAAGCCCTCCATGGGCGGCATGGGTAATAGTGTTTGCTGCCTTCAAGACAGCAGTAAAAACGGTATTATATACACAATACAGAGCACCAATGCATACCTGGGGGGCGAATTTACACTTCCCTTCCACGATATTTCGCTTCAAAGAACAAAAACAAGGAAGCAAAAAAACGTAGAAACAAACAAAAAGCCTGGCAAGTATCGCCGCGCGAAACTTTCATCCCAAGCGTCTGCATGGTGCTGGGTACTGCCGCACAGCAACTACTGTCCTCAAGCACGTTGGACGGACACGGGGGTCGGTGATCATACTCTATTCTTTCTTCCTCACCTCCGCTGCTTGACCTCGTTGAACTTGAGCACTGCGCCTGCGGCGTTTTGCTTGGACTGCTCGAACGTTTGCCCCGAGGCCTTGAGGCGGTCGCTCACGTCGCCGAATCTCTCCACAGCCTGAAAGAGACCCCCGCAAGCATGATCAGAATGGGGGGAGGGGGGGGGGGGGGGGCCACATGGTTCATAAACCCCTTGGCCCCTTTTTACCTTTCAAACCCCCCTTTCTTTGAACCCAACCAATTTCAAAATTCTTTAAATCCCTTTTCCCCCCCCCTTTGACCCCAGGGCGGCTTTTTTTTTAACCAAATCCCGGCCCCCCTTTGAACCCCGGCCCCCATTCCCAGGGCAAAAAATTATTCCAAAAAAATATAAAAAAAAAATTCCCGGCCCCCCCCCCCCCAAAAAACTTTAAAAACCTACCCCTTCAAATTTTCCCCCAAAAAGGTTTCCCACCCCTTCCCCCCCCCCCCCCCGAAGGGGGGGAAAAAACCAAAAACCGACAACCCCCCCTAAGTACCACCCCCCGGCATAAGGGGCCCCCTTTTCTTCCGTTTCCCCCCAAAAAAAAAAAACCCCCCCCCCTTTTGGGGGTCCTCTTGTTTAATTGGGCCCCCCCCCCCCCCCTTTCCTTCCTTTAACCCGAAACCCCCCCCCCCCGGCCTTTGCCATCCTTTCCCCCCCGGGTTTTCTTCTCCTTTGAAAGGTCCCCCTTTCCTCTTCCTCAAAAAAAAAAAAAAAACCCCCCCCCAAAAGAAAAAAAAAAAAAAAAAAAAAAAAAACCC